TATGTTCATAAGGGGTATTGGCCTGTAGTTCTCTTTCTTTGTTGCATCTTTACCCCATTTGGCTATCAGTGTAATGTTAGTTTCATAAAATGATTTGGGGAGAATTCCATCTTTCTCAATTGCTTGGAATACTTTCAATAGGATTGGCATCAGCTCTTCCTTGAACATTTTGTAGAATGTGCTGGAAAGGCATCTGGTCCAGGGCTTTTTTTTTTTTTGTAGGTAGTTTTCATATGACAGAGTCAATTTCCTGGGTTGTTATTGGTCTATGTAGTGTCTCAATGTCTTCTTATTTTAACTTGGGTAGGTTGTGTGATGTCAGAAAGTCTTCCATTTCATCTCAGTTTTCAAGTTTGTTTCCATATAGGTGTACAAAGTAATCTCTGATAATCTTTTGTATTTCTTCAGGGTCAGTTGTTATTTTATCTTTTGTATTTCTGATTGTGTTTATTTGGACTTTTTCTTGGTCAATTTGGCTAGGGGCCCATCAATCTTGTTAATTCTTTCAAAGAACCAGCTTTTTGTTTTGTTGGGGTTTTGGTGGTCATCTCTTTCCAGCTCCCTTAGGTGATTTGTTAGCCTCTCCACTTATGATCATTCCATTTTCTTGATGTGTGTTCATAGAGATATAAATTCCCTTCTTTGGGATTTCATGGCATCCCAAAGATGTTTCTTCATTTTCATTTGTTTCCAGGAATCTTTCAATTTCTTCTTTGATTTGAGTGTTGGCCCAGTTGTTGTTCAGCAGCATGCTGTTTAGTGTCCATGTTTTTGTGGACTTTGGGAAAATTTTGTTGGTGTTGATATTTATTTTTATTCCACTGTGGTCTGAAAAGGTGCGTGGCAAGACTTCAATCTTATGAAATGTGTTTATGTTTGATTTATGGCCAATGATGTGGTCGATCTTAGAATACATCCCATTTGATGGTGAGTAGAATGTATATTCTGTGGTCATTGGGTGGCTTGTTCTGTAAGTATAATTAAGTCAATTTGTTCAAGAGTCTCATTGAGGTTCTGGGTGTCCTTGATGATTTTTTTTGTCTTAATGATTTGTGTAGGGTTGTGAGTGGGGTATTAAAGTCCCCAACTATGGTAGTGTTAGAGTCAATCACTTTTTAAAGTTTGCCTAGAAGCTGCTTTACGAAAAATGGTGCTCCTATGTTAGGTGCATATATGTTTAGATGGATATTTCTTGTTGATAGGTTGAACCTTTTATCATTATATAGTGACCTTCATCTTTTTTTGATTTTCGATAGCTTAAAGGGTATTTTGTCTGAGATTAAAGTTGCAACTCCAGCTTTCTTTTGTGTTCCGTTCACCTGAAAATTTGTTTCCCATCCTCTTACTTTGAGTCTGTGAATGTCCTTTCTGGTGAGATGATATCATAATATTTTATGAGGCAACAATATATTGCCTCACAGAATTTTGCCATTCTGTGTCTTTTCAGTGGAGCATTTAGTCCATTCACATTCAGGCTAATTATTGAAATGTGAGGGTTTATCTTTGTCATGATGTTCTTATAGAGTTGTTGGACTTATTTGTTTGCTATCTTTCTTTTGGTTTTTTGAGTTGGTTCATGTGTGTTTTCTACCTTTTCCTGAACTCTTGTGAAGAGCATTGGTGATCTTTTTCCCTTTTCTTCTGCATTTAATACTTTCTTAAGAGTTTCTTAAAGGGTAGGTCTGGAGGCAGCATAAGTTCTTAGGAATTGGATATCTGGTAAAGATTTTAATTCTCCCTCACTGATGAAGCTTAGCTTGGCTGGGTAGGTTATCCTTGGTTGAAATTGTTTATCTTTGAGAGCTTTGAATATTGGGCTCCAAGCTCTCCTAGCCTGAAGTATTTCTGTAGATAAATCTGTTGCTATTCTGATTGGTCTTCCCTGGTATGTCGTATGACCTTTTTCTCTTGCTGCTTTTAGGATTTTTTTCTTTTATACCTACTTTGTTCAGGTGGATTATTATGTGCCCAGCAGTTGCTCTTCTCATTTGTTGTCTTCTGGGGTTTTCTGAATTTCTTGTGTTTGAATTTTTGCATCATTAATGAGGTAAAGGAAGTTTTCTTGAATAATTTCATGGAATGTTTGTTCCAGGGTGGTCTCTGTCTCTCTTTCTGCCTCAGGAAGGTCAATTACTCTTAGGTTCATTCTCTTGAAGTAATCGCTCATCTCTTGAAGGTTTTTTTTCTGTTTTTTTAAGCTTCTTTTCTATGATTTTGACAGTTTGGTTCAGTTCTATATTTTTGTCTTCAAGTTCTGAGATTCTGTCTTCTGCTTGGCTAATTCTGCTTTCCATGCTTATTAGTGTGTTATTTATTTCAATCACTTTACTGCTGTTATCTCAGTAATCAACTCCTTTCTATTTTCCCCTTGTCTCTCCTCCATTCTTTTTATTCCCTCTATTAATATCTTGATATCTGTGTTTATAGTATGTGATCGGTCATTCTGGGAGCTCTTCATTGTTTCCATTCCGAAGTATGTTTTCTTAATATCTGATCACCCAGGGGTCAGTGTGACACCTATATTCTTCTTTGAATTTTTCTTCATTTGTGTAGATTTGCCTCCCCACTTTTTCCTTTTTTTCTTCTTCTCCCTCTGTCCTCTTTAAATCTGCTGTTCAGGGGTGGTGGGTTGCTTTGTGCTTCTGTTTGCTCAATCTCCTAGTCTTCCTTATGTGAACCTTCTGGCCTTGTTCGATTCTGAGACTGGACTGTAGGTTGAGGGTTATACCTTTTGCAGTTTTGGGATTTATTTGAGGGGGGAGTTGTGATTCAAAATTTATCTGCAGATCCCAGTATCCCACTGACAGGTATATGGATACACTGGATTCTGCTTCCCACTGCCTTGTAATCTGATCATGAAGTGGAGGTTATTGGTTTGCTCCCTGAAAGTAAAATGATGTAAGAAAAGGGTAAGAAATGGAATGGGGGGTGGAGGAAGCAGAAGGTGGAGACAGGAGAGTAGAATGGAGAACAGACTGAGGTACCCATTAATAAACGAAAATAGACCTGATGACAGATAAGCGTAAGAGAAAACAAAAATAAAAATAAACAAATGATCAAACAAAAAAACAACAGTGACAACAACAAACAACCTAGGTCATAAAATCATACAGACACAAGCTGACCAACCTCAAGATGTACTGTTCCCTTATACAATCATGAGGACTTAGCTCCCAAGTTGGAAGTTGGGCAGAGCTGGGTGGGCAAGTCACTGCAGGTCTCTGCCTGGTCTCAGGGCTCCAGATGGTCACAGGTTCTAATGCAACCGGATCCAGTTGGTGGGGTGGGGTTTGGAGTGCCAGACAGCCAGGTAATGTAGGTCAGTGTGTCACATGTGACTTGGGCCTCTTTTTCTTTCTTTGTTCTTAGCTGTCAGGCTGGAGGATGCACAGAGCTAGGTGGAGCTCATGGGGCAATGCAGGTCTCAGCCTGGTCTCAAGCTCCAGCTGTTCTCTGGTCCTGCTGTGATCAGGGACAAGTCAGGGGAGGTGGAATTCAAGACTTCTGGGCATTGCTGGTCGGAGTCGTGGTCAGGGTGGCTGGGGGGCAGGGCGACATGGTCAATAAGGGAACCTTGGACCTCCCTGGGTGGTGGAGGCTTGGGCTGGGGCTGGGTGCTATAACCAGCCAGGGAGGGAGCCCAGAGTTCCATGTGTGGCAGCCACTTGAAGCAGGTTGGGGAGGGGGCCTGGAGCTCCAAGGGGTGCTTGCCTAGGGCCTCCATGGGTGGGCGGTGGTGGCTTGAGGTGGGGCTGGGCGCTTCTGCCAGGGAAGTGGCCTGGAGCTCCAAGGGGCAACACTGAGGGCCTCCATGGGTGAAGGTGGCTTAGGGCCTGGTGGGACACTTCATTCAGGGATGGAGCCCATTGCTCCGAGGGGTGGGTGCCAAGGGCCTCTGTGGGGGCAGCAGCTTAAGGCAGGTCTGGGTGCTTCAGCCCAGTGGGGAACCAGAGCTCCAAGGTGCGGGTGCCAGGAGCCTCCGGGGGTGGCGGCTCAAGGTGTAGCTGGGCACTTCAGCCCGCGTTGGGGCTGGAGCTCTGAGGCGCGGGCACTGGGGGCCTCCGCAGGGGTGGCAGTTCGAGGCAGGGCTGGGCTTTTCAGTTCGGCTGGGGTCCCAGAGCTTAAGGCAGGGGTGCTGAGGGTCTCCACAGGGGAAGTGGCTTGAGGCAGCGCTGGGAGCTTCAGCCAGGGTAGGGCACTTCAGCCAGGGCAGGGGTCCAGATCTCTGAGGTGCTGGCACTGAGGGCCTCTGCCAGGGTGACGACTTGAGGTGGGGCTGGGCACTTCAACCAAGGAGGGGGCCTGGAGTTCAGAGGGTCAGCACTGAGGGCCTGCCTGGATGGCAGAGGCTTTTGGCCTGGTGGGAAGCTTCAGTGGGGGGACGCTCATAGCTCCGAGGGGCGGGCACCAGGGCCTCTGTGGGGAGTGGTGACTCGAGGTGGGACTGAGCACTTCAGCCTGGGCAGGGGCCTGGAGTCCCAAGGTGCCCAGGTGTATGTGCTGGCCGCCCCCCCCCCCCCCCGCAGGGGTAGCGACTCAAGATGGGGCTGGGTGCTTCAGCCCAGGCGGGAGCCACAACTGTAAGGTGTGGGCAATGGGGA